GATGCACGCTGTGAAAAAGTGTGTTGGAAACACAAATTGAGGACCAATCTGCACCTTATTGATGACCCGTGGCGTTAATATACTGCATCTGTGCCAGCGCGTGATGTAATAAAACTTTTTTTTAATCCATTTTATACAATCCGCCTTCAATTAACAAGTGCACTTATGCGTATAAGCAAATTTCAAGTTCAACACTTTTTGTTCCATTCAGTTGTGGATGCTGCTGATTCACCGAGACCGCCGCGGCTCAGCAAAGAGATGTGTGTGTGTGTGTGTTTTCCTTTGAAAAAGTTTCCCCAGATACTCGCACTACATTTTTTGGAAGGTAATGGTACTTTTACTTGAGTCTATTTTTTCAGTACTCTTTCCACCACTGGTCGTAAGTTGATTTGTGCGCACGGATCTGTGCTCGTTTCTATGTTAGACTGATAAATGAGGCCCAGTATGTGTGAAATGAACATGTGGGACCCTTACAAGGGGTGACCAAAATTTAATTACCTTGTGACCCCCTCACTGACACTGCCTGACGAATAATGCATGACAAAATTAAATAAATTAAAAAAAGGAGTCAGAAATCATCTTAAAAAATTAACGAAAATCTCACAGTGTATGCCTAACTTTACCTGCAGTTAGCATGCTTTTCAGGTCATATCCCATACTGCCTGTGAATGTTTTCAGTTCTGAATTTTCTTTTCTCTGCTGGCTGCTACAAAGTTTCCCATTATTAATGGAAGCCAGAGAAGCATGGGGTCATGGGAACTGGGCGAAATCCTCTGAGAAAGGATTACGTCTTTGAGATACTGCTCTCAGCATTTAGAGCAAAGGAATAATTAAGTGTTTACTAAAAGATTGGTGCAATAGAGAGACATTGGCTTGCTTTCTTCATGATGCAGATGTCAATCAGAATTAAATCGGAAATCGGACACTGACATTCCTTTAAAAAATCCTCAAGCATTGTGTAGCACCCCATTGGCTTAATAGCTCAGTCACTCGCACTTTGTACGAGTTCACATGGACTTATTTGATGTCTGAGCTGTACTGCAGCAAGGATTTTAGTGACAATTTAGTAAAGCAGACAGACAGACATGTCTGCATTTTTGAAAGGAGGAAAAAGTGGAGTATTTCGCAAGCACTAATGCATTCCTTAGCCCTTCTTTTTAAGTCTTCATGCACCCTCCTCTGAATCTTCTTTGGACATGTCTGAAATAAGGCTTAAGGAGATAGACGTTCAGTGTGCAGTCATAAAAATGGCTTTATATAGGTAGGAGGGATTGTGGTATTAGTTTGAATGATTTTACCATTCCTGTTCCTACCAGCTGCACCTCAATGGCTCCCCTCATCTGGTCTGTTAAATCGGAGTTGTGAGCTTCTGATATCAATCTTAAAGTCATTTACAGCGAGACTGCAGTTTATCATCATCCCACACGCCGTATTAACTCTCACATTTCTCCAAGAAAATCAGAATACAGCTTAATTTAAAGGAACAGTTCATCCAAAAATGGAAGTTGTCATTTTTTACTCACTCTCATGTGCTGATGGGACATGAGAAACGATAGAGAAATTATGAAGTATGGGTTCAGGAGCTTTCAAGCTATAAAAATGATGCATCATAAAAGTGGTCCATGGTCCATATACATGTATGGTCCATGTGCTATATCCCATGTCTTCTGAAGTCATGTATATATTTATATATAAATTGGAAAGACAGAAATTAGTATTTATTAGAGAAGAAAAGCCATTAAATTATCAAAAATGAAATTAAATTATTAAATTAAAATTAAATTAAAAATGTTAATTTTTGAGTGAACTATACCTTTAAATTAGATTTAAAGTTTTTTTATTTGCTGTGAAAATATTCTTAGATAATTAACAGGGCTTGATTTTCTAAGGGTTTGATTCGATCAATTCGGCTATTGACTAAAAATCTCTGACATGTTCAGTGGACAACAGATCAATGGGGATGAAGTGGGGATTGCTGAAGTGAGATGTATGGGTTTCAGGAATGACATAGTAGCCATGTGGACAAATTGAGTTTCTGCAGGAGCTTTCAAGCTATAAAAATGATGCATCATAAAAGTGGTCCATGGTCCATGTGCTATATCCCATGTCTTCTGAAGTCATGTATATATTTATATATAAATTGCAAAGACAGAAATTAGTATTTATTAGAGAAGAAAAGCCATTAAATTATCAAAAATGAAATTAAATTATTAAATTAAAATTAAATTAAAAATGTTAATTTTTGAGTGAACTATACCTTTAAATTAGATTTAAAGTTTTTTTATTTGCTGTGAAAATATTCTTAGATAATTAACAGGGCTTGATTTTCTAAGGGTTTGATTCGATCAATTCGGCTATTGACTAAAAATCTCTGACATGTTCAGTGGACAACAGATCAATGGGGATGAAGTGGGGATTGCTGAAGTGAGATGTATGGGTTTCAGGAATGACATAGTAGCCATGTGGACAAATTGAGTTTCTGCCAAAGAACTGCAGAGGTCTCTTTCAAGGGAAGTAGCATTGACATCTGATTGTACTGCTGAAACGATTACCAATCCGGCAATACTGTAAGACATCACTGGTTTTTATGAGGATTTAATTTGGATAAATCTGCCTTGGCTTGCAAACAAGACAGTAATGACTCAAAAATCCAGAAGAAATCTTCAGAGGTGACTGCTTTGTACACGTGTGATATCGTTCTCTATCAGAATGGCTATATAATATATATATATATAATTCTATTTTTTCTGGCTGTGATTATGGCACTCGTCCTTGTGTCTATATATATATATATATATATATATATATATACACACACACTCTAAAAAATGCTGGGTTGTTTCAACCCAATGTTGGGTCAAATAAAT